TTTTCTTTTTTGTTGCAGGTTAGATTTTTAAATATCTGACATTTACAGTCACTACATCTGCTTTTAACAACTTGTAATCATTGTTAATTGTGTTTTTTGACTGATTGAGAAAACTGGCACTGCTTTGTGTTTCTTTCAAGTCCTAGCTCCTGTTCCCTATTGCAGGGCTACTGCTGTTAGTGCTTTAATTTGGATAAGAAACTGTTCTAAAGGGAGTGTTGAGAAGAGTGAGCAGTTTTCCTTTCCTACCACTTGGGAGAGGAGGAGCAGGCTGCCAGGCTCCCCTCACCGAGAAAAGTTGCATGACAGATGGTCATGTCATCACAAATAAAAATGGATTATTGTAGTTCAAGATAGTTCAGAGCAGGATTTCCACACTGCTACTCCCCAGGGTGCTGCTGAGAAATGCAGAGAACACCTTGCATAAAACCCCTTAATCTGCATAGTGATCAATACTAGAAAATTAAAATTTTAATATGTTCCAATTACAAAGCTAGATCTGCTTTGCAAAAAAACTATTGCAGTCATTTCCATAGAGAAATGCTGACTGGTTTAGTCTGAAAGGCAAAGGCCTGGCAATGCATGCAGTGTGGTGACAGCACTGAGCTGTTGAATGTGAGCTGCCAGCAAAGCCTTCTTGTACCTTTGTGGCTCCCTGTGATTCTTTTTTCTCCTGCCTGGCTGCCCATTAAGTTGCGCTGTGGCTGTACCTCCTGGCAGTACATACGAGAACCAGTAACTCAAGAAGAATGGTAATCCACTAGGAAATAAGCAAGGAGTACTTCCAATAGAGACTGTGTATTTAATTATGCTTTCCTGCCCCTTATAAAAAGAACTCTGGTATGGTGTTTTATGAGGAAAACAAGTACTTAAAGCCATGTCATTTTTATTAGCTCTCAAGTTTTACCCAGATTGAAAAGCATTTATTTCATACCAAATTGTTCCTCAGCTTCTCAGTACTAATCTTTGCCTGTAATCAGTTTTTCTATTCCTTCATCTTTGGTCATTGACTGTCAGTTTCAATAACAACTGTATACAACAGGCAAAGATGACGAAGATAGTTCAACATTGTCACATTGTCTGACAGCTTCCAGTCTGTTCCTACCCTTATCTTCAAGGGTTACTTGTTCAACCTTTTACATACAGGAATGAAATAAATTAGATATGCTACTATTTACACCACTGTTGCCAGACTGAGCATTGCTGTATTGTCTGTCCTTTCACAGCAGAGACAAAAATTTAAACTATTTGCATGTGTATTTTACTGCCACTAAATTAATGCCTACCTTCCTTCTCCCAAATTACCTTATGGAACTTAACAGTGACATTTACTAACTAGATTATAGTTATCAGCAAAGAAGAGCATGGCACTGTGTTACAGCTGTCTAATACTTCGAAGAGTAAATCTAGTTTCTATTCAAACAATTCCCTGTTTTCAATGAAGGAAAATCAGGCCCTTGATCAGCAAGTGTAGTGTCAGTCATACTGCGCAAGACTGAAACCATCAAAAGCATGTCAGTGATTTAAAAAGAGCTTCTGTGTTTAGCCTGCACCAATTTATACATAATGAATAACTGGTTCATGTATGATTTAATTTTAAAATATTTTATTAAGCACAGATAATAATGCAGAAATTCATATAATAAAACAAGAAAAAGCTAAGTTAAAATGAGTTACTATAAATATATTTCACTTAAAATTCTTATTTTATATACATAACTTCTTTTAAAAATTGGGCAATTATAAATTAACAGGTTCCAAGTAACTGGAATTTGGTATGTTTCAGATCAGATGGCTGTGCTGCACATCTTTGGCTTTTAAGACTTAGAAGGATCTGTTGTCATCTTGACAGGTAGATGTAAAGGATGCCAGGGTGTACTTGGGTGGGAGGGAAGTAAGGGTGAGCATGGTCTTAGTGTTGACAGTCAGGTGTATTTTCATGACTTAAGTGAAAAATTTTTTTCAAGAGGGATGACAGAAGGCAGCTGCAGAGTTTAGTTTTAACATGTTTTGTTTTTCAAGGCATTTAGGATCTTTGAGTTCTTAGTTTTAAAACTCATTACAAAGCTGTTGGGAAAGACTTTGCCTCTACCGTCTTCTTCTACCTGGCCCATGATGATGTAGTTTAAACCTACAGGGAAGAGAGCATGATATTGCAAGACAGAAATCCAGGTCATGATTTGGTAAGAATAGTTCTTTTACCTCTATTCTCTATTCCTTTGCACTAACATCTGCATTCTAACATTTTTTCCTTCTTTCCTGAAGTATAATCTTCCTTACCCATCTTTGCTGTGCTTATTACTCAATACAGTACAGTTCTGCAAAAATCAAGTAGATGCATAGCTTAAGTGTCTACTACATATTTAAATATATAGGAGATAGTCATTACATTTAGACTGTCAAATGAGTCTGAAATACATTAGAAATGTATAAACACTGGATAACAGCTACTAACATCCCAAGTTGAATGTGTCTCATTCATTTTTGATATCTTCTCCTTTACTCAGCTTGTAGGATGGGTTAATGCACTTCAGTCTTTTCATCACCTTTTCTTACCTCCCAAAATTTTTTATATATATATATATATACACACATACACACACACATCTACATACATGTAGTCGGGCAAGCAAGGTGGCTTTATGTATGATAAGTC